CACATTCCTACCTAAACTTCAGTTAAAACAAAACAAAAAATGCCTGTTAACAATCAAATGGAATGTTTAATTCTCAGTATTAAATTATAGCTCCTTCTCATAATGTATCAGAAAGTATTTTTCCCTTATCCCATTGCTTAGGATAAAGCTACATGAATCTGCTTTCCCTTACTTGTTAAAGCTCAGAGACGGATACTCACTGGATGATGACAGAAGTTACCTCTTTGCCCAGTCTATCACTTTGACTTACTATTTCCATCAACATTCCACTAAGTTACATACCCAGTACTGAATCAAAACCCACTTTTCTGAAGATGCAAAAACAATTGTATCTTTAAACTAATGACACCAATGAGAGCTGACAGCCCATTTAGGGAATCCAGGAATGCTGTCACTGGGCAAACAACAAAACGCCTGTGTCCCTTTCCCCTCTTACACGTGTTTATGCTGCTGCTGACACAACGCTCCTATGGACATGTGCAGAGCTAAATGCAAAACAGGTCATTGCACTTGTTTTGGCTTGATTCCTACACAATGTTCTGCAGTATTATGCCTTCCAGCTGAGATGCTTATTTTCTCTTTCTTGTCTTCACCTACAAGTTAGGCAAGAAAACTTAATCTTGGGGGATAACACCAGGGACATCTGCTGTTTTTGTCCACTAAGTGATTCAGAATGAGCAAAGCAGCTTCTGTAATTACATTCTCGGACCATTTTTACGTCTATTACCTACCTTGCTAGAAAGTGTAAGTTTGACTCAACTTCACTCTCATGGCCGATATATCAACATCGTTACGCTCTGGGAGCAGTTCCTCAGCCACCCATATTCTTTAATTCAGCTATTCACAACATAAAAAGAATCCTAAAAATAATCTCCTAAGGGGGGCCTGCTATGCCAAAATACACCACACACGTCCCATCCTCAGGGCCTTAGGCTGCAGCTGCAACAGGGCCTGCCCTGCTGGGGCACCCGTTTTCTGTGAAGCGGAACCATGTTTTCTGAGGAGGCCCGCGCATCGCCCGCTGACATTTATTGACCGCTGTTGCCGCGCTTGGTACCGCTGTGTGTTATCTGCTCCGTGCCCGCTGCCTGCGGCCGGCGCTGCCCGCGCAGGCCTCGGCTCGGCTCGGCTCGGCTCGGCTCGGCTCGGCTCGGCCCGGCCCGGCTCGGCCGCCCTGTGAGCGCGCGGCGCGGCCCGCAGAGGTGGCGCTATGGCGAGCTACAAGACAGTGGCGGGTCTCGCGGCCCGCTCTCGGCGGGACG